CCCTCCCCGGGATGTCTGCTGGAAAAAAACAAAACAAAAAACAAAACTGGGACCGTAATATACAGGGGTACAGGTACTCCTAGAATGAGATCCTAATAGGTTGGACTTGATGGACGTATGTCTTTATTCAACCTCAAATACTATGTAACTATGTAACTTACCTTTCCCCTCCTGCAGCTGTGCTCTGCTCCTGCCTTCTCTTCGGAGCTTCTGCCGGGGAATAAAAAAGCTCAGCCCCCTTCAAAATTCTTCCTGCACGGACATACTCAGGAAGGTACTGGATGTACCCCCCTGATGGCGGCCCTGGGGATTCAGAGTTTTAGCCGCGACCCCCCCTATTCACTTGCGTGACCCCATATGGGGTCGCGACCCACACTTTAAGAAGCCCTGATTTAGTTCAAGTCAGCTGGAATTTAGCTTCCATTGTATCAACTTTACAAAACTCGTCCACCATCCAAATTGTCCGATGGTGTGTATTTCTCTATTGCCATGGTTACAATAAACCTGACCTGGCCTAAGGTGGCAATGTGTGTTAGTCTTCAGATTGATCCCTGTGTCCCTCTGGAGCCTCCTTGGATCACAGGCCCTTTACATGGGACCCTGACTGCTGTCAATGTCAAGATTAAGTAGTGTCCATCCAGGAGATACGGTATGCCATTGTCAAGTGCCAGAGCCTCTGTTGCCCAAGAGCAGGAGGGGAAAGGGCTTAAAGGAGAACTATGAGGCAAGTGATTTTCACTCACCTCATAGTTCTAGCCGACCTGTGACAATGAGACTGTCACAGGTCGGCTCAGTAGATCGGGAGGTGAGCGAACACATACCGGCGTTCGCTCACCTCTCGATCCTGTCACGGCTCTCTGCCGTGATAGGGGAGGGGCTGGATTCCCCCCGCTCCGCTCCGCCAGCGCTGACTGGCGGAACGGACGGGGGAGGGGGCGGGTACAGCTGGCTCTGCTTCTAGATAGGCAGAGCCGGCTGTCAGTCACGCAGCTGGGCGGATCCCGGCACAATTGCTCGCGGTATACTGCAGCTGCTCGCGGTATACTGCGGCGTCTCAGTATAAAGCGAGCTACAGCTCGCTGTACCCTGAGCCTAGGGTGACGGGAGGACGCTAGTTTGTGTCCTCCCGTTACCCTAAGGAGAACTATGGGGAAAAGACTTAACCCCATAGTTCTCCTTTAATGTTCACTTAAACAGATGTTATGGCTCCATGTATGGACCTAGGATCCAAAGGACTGCAGGGATAAAGTGATCAATTTGAAGACTAACATTGGTACATGAAAGCCCCCACACATCAGGAATTTTGTTACCTTAGAAACCCTTTAGACCAGCCCAGGACCCCTTTAAGACATTGGATCTTGTGCACACTGGCTTTAGCTTTAAGCAGGTTTCTTGAAGTCCTTAAGGCACCCTTTAGTGCCTGTCTAGCAGTGTTGAATAGAGTTGGGCAAATGATGGAATTGATCCCATTGAGTGGAACCATTTATTTCTCTCTCCAGCCCAACATTGACAACAAATTGTAAAAATACTTTTCTGCAATAGGAAAAAATAATGGCCAAC